GCCAACTACCAGATCAGCCTGACGGAGTACATCTCCGGGAAGATGGAGCACGTCACCCGGCGCACGCTCAGCATCGAGAAGGGCTTCTAGTGCCGCCAGCCCGAGCCGTAGCTCCCCGCTCCCTCTCCCTCCTGTCTAACGCCTCCGGAGCGCCGCGCGGCCCAGGACCACCAGTGAGTGGGTTGCAGACCTGGGAGACACTGTAGCCATCCCTGAGCACGCGCCCCTTCCCCGTGTGCTGCTTGGGGAGCACCGGGCCCCATGTTCTCAACAGCCAGTACTTTTGCTCCAGACCCTGTGAGGCAGGCAGAGCCTGGCCCCACTTCCTAAAACAGCACAATCACTCCTGAAAACACTGACCCCGGGTCCAGTCCCTGAGCAGCTGGGGGAAGAAGTGGGAATATTAGAGTCCAGCTGCATGGCCCCGACCCTTAACCTCTCCCCTTTAGTTTATTCTCACTATTTAATGAGCGAGGATCCTGATTCCTTCTTTCGCGGCCTGACTGCACGAGCCAGTTGCTGCTTTTAGTTCCCTGCCCTCCAACATGGGGGCAGCTGAGGAGGAGGCCGTGCTGTTCCAGAGCAGGTAGGGGCTGACACTGGGGACTCGCTGCTGCCACATGGGTTCCCAGGAAAGCTCCTTTGGTTTCTCATGGCCATGCTGCGAGTCGCATCTGCGCATGGCCCTCCATCCGCCCTGCGTGTTGCCTCGCGGGATGTCTTGAGCAGTGAGCGCTGGTCCTGGCAAGCCCGGTTCCCCAACCGCCTTGCATGACGCTTGGCTCCGACCACTGCTCCGTGGCGCTTGGCGCGGGTGCCTTCCTGGCCCCGGAGCCCCTTTGTGCCAGGTGCTCTTGCCACGAGCAGGGCCGTGCCCAAGGTGACACCGTTGCTCTGTGAATCCCGTGTCATGTACTGTCCTTGGCGCTGCTTGTGTCTTCTAGAGATAAAACCTGCTGGAGCCAAATCTGCGTCTCTGGGAACTGGTCATTGTGGGATGAGGCCCACGCAGGAGGAGAGGGCCCCTGTTTCCCAGGCTGAATGGGATTGCAGCCGGGTCCTGCTCCTCTGCCACGTCAGCCCAAGTTGTCCCTGTCCCACAACCCCAGGGCCGTGCAGGGCTGGGCCAGTGCCAGCACCAGGGGAAGGTGCTGGGATGAGAGAAAGCACTACAAAATGCTTGGGGCTTGCTCTGGAGTTGGGCTAACGCAGAGCCAGGAGGGTCCCTAGGGGCCCGGCTGGGTCCCCCAGACCAGGCCCTGCTCCCATCCCGCTCCTCGGGGACAAGGAGCAGGATGGCCAAGGACCTCTCCCATGCACGAGACCTCCCTGTTCCTTGGCTTGTGACCAGTGGGCTCAAAGTTGCCATCCCTCCGGGAGGAGACTTTGCAACCCTGGACAGAAATCCTTTCTCCCATGCTTTCTTTCCCATCTTCAAAGAAAGGTCAAAGACAGATATATCAACATGACACGTCCGTTTATAACAGAGCTTCTCAGGGCGGCTGCCAAGCGCCTCCGCTCCCGCTCTGGCCTGGCCCTGCGCTCAGGCGCCTTGGCCCGTGCTGGCTCTCCAAGCACAGCCATTTCCCAGGGCTTCCGCGCCAGCCGCTCCTCCTGGGGCTCTGGGGGACGTCACCAGCACGAGGCCGCGTCCCCATCCTTTGGCTTGGACATGCTGCCATTCCCCTCCTTGCTGCACTTCCCTCCAGCACGGATCTGCTTTGGCGACCCAGCAGCAGCCCCGCATGGCTCCTCGGCAGGGCTGGGGAAGGCGGGAGGCAGAAGGGGGCTTCCCGGAGCGCTGGTTGATGCACCTGGAAGTTGCCTGATGCTGCTACAGACAGACCGAGTCCAGTCCTGCTCTTCAGGAGCACCGGGGCTTTCACCAACCCTCAGCAGAGTCGTCTTGCTGTGCAGCAGTGCTCCCACGTGCCGTGCTGGGAACACAGCTCTCCGCCTGGACCAGGAGCCTCTGAAAGTCCCTGAGGAGCTTTTAAACACGGGTTGTTCTGGATCAGCTTCCAGGGGCAGGCGGCTGCTGGCTGGAACCGCTGCTGGGAACCGTTCGTCCTCGCTGCTCTGTCACCCGGGGCGAGGCGAACGCTGCTGCGTGACCCCTGCGTGACGTCCCCCGCGGCTGCCAGGGCCCGTCCGGCGAAAAAAACCCCCCGGCCCCGCCCCGCCCGCACGGCGGCCTTCGCGGGGGGTCCGCAAGAGCTTCGCTCCAGCAGGAAGCGAGCGCGGGCGCAGACGCGTTGCCTCCTGCAGCGCGTCCTGCTCGCTGATGCGGCGCCGCCGCAGCAGAGCCACGAGCAGCGGACGGGGCGAGGGAGCTCACCAGGTCTCTGAAGCGAGTGAGTCCAAGGGTCAAACCTGCTCCTTGGGCCGCTTGGAGGGCGAGCGGGATCACCCTGCAGCAGGAGGAAGGGCAGGTCAAGACCAGCAAGGACAGCGCGCCTGGCAGCAGGCGCAGCAGCGCCAGCCAAGAATGACAAGCAGGGCACGTAGGCGAAACCCAAGGGGAGCAGAGCCGCCTTCCCGGGATGAGGGTGCGGAGGAACGGAGCTGGAGCGGCCTCCAGAGCCGCCCAGGGAGATGCCACGTGGACGGGCCCCAGGCTGCACTTACTGTGCACACGTTTCTCCCAAGAAAGCTGGAGCCCCCAGGGGTGTCTTAGCTGTGCGCAACGCACAGGCAAGTCCAGTTTAGAAATTACACTGACTATTTAAGTGCAATTGGTTTTCACACAGAATGAAAGACCTAAGCAGTGCGGGGCGAATCCTGCCCTCTCCTGCCACAGTCAGTGGTTCTCACCCTGTTTGCTGACATCAGCCACAGCTTACATGTCCTAGAGAGAAAATTCTTTTTATTTGGCATGTTACAATGCTTTAATTACTACTTAACAACTATGCAGCTCTGGGAATTCAGCTCCTTCAGCTGCAGAGAAATCCCTCCCATGACACCTGTGCAAACTGGCTCGTGACACTCATCATGCCTTCTCAACTGCAAAATGCACATGTGGTTTTTATTGCTGGCTTAGATTTCCTTCAGGTGCTCTAAGCCTTGCAGGGCAGGTGGGGGATGAAGCAGACCTGAGCATTCATCACATGGGACACAGAAACTTCCACTTCAGCTGAGTTGCTCCAAACAGCTTCAGGCCACCCCCGTCATCAAGTCAGATGCTGGATACACTAACGAAGACCAAAAGGAGTGGAGAGTTTAAGGTTAACTAAGCATCTGACATAGAGCTGTCTTTGGGGCAGCTCTCGGTCATCAGCATCCCCTCGGACAGGTTTCATAAAAACAAGTCTTGTGGCAGGAGCTGCCTTCAACATCTGCTACGTGCGAAGAGCGGCTGGGAGCGCGTCAGGGCGGCCGCGGGTCAACAGGAACAAGCAGCAGGCCGGGGCCCGGGGGGGAGGA